CTTGTGACTGCAGCAACAGGAGAAGGAGACAGGAGGGGACTGAGCAATGTCATCTACCTAGACTTCTTTATGGCCTTTGACACAGTCCCCCATGACATCTTTATCTCCAAACTGGAGTCAGAGGGATTTGAAGGGTGGACTAAGTGGTCAATAAGGAATGGGCTGGATGGACACAGCCAGAGAATTATGGTCAATGGCTCTGTGTCCAGGTGGAGGCCACTGACAAGTGGTGTCCCTCAGGGCCCTGTCTTGGGACCTGTGCTCTTCAATGTCTTCATCATTGACATCAACAGTGGGATTGAGGGTGCCTTCAGAGAGTTTTCAGATGACACAAAGCTGAGCAGTGCAGTTGAAACAACAGAAGGATGGGATGCCAGAGGGACCTGGACAAACCTGAGAAGTGGGCCCACAAGAACCTCTTGAGGTCCAACAAATCCAAGTGCAAGGGGCTGCACCTGCATCAGGGCAATCCCAGACATGAGCACAGACTGGGAAGGGAACTCACTGAGAGCAGCCCTGTGGAGGAGAACTCGGGGGTTTGTGTGGATGAAAAGCAGGACATGAGCCAGTAGTGTGTGCTCACAGCCCAAAAAGCCAACTGCATCCTGAGCTGAATCAAGCAAACAAAATGAGGGACAGATGCTATAGAAACTTACATATTGCATTTCAGCAAATTATTCCAACCTAAATCTTGTTTTTTAAGCTGATATAATGCTTATCAAACTTTTCATTTGGTAACGAGTGTGTAATGAGGATAAATTTACCTAACTGTACTACAGGGATGGAAGAAGGAAGTTAATGACAGTAAGTGAATAATCAGGGAAAGAGAAACTGATCATCCAATTTTTTCTCCAGTAAATGACTGTTTTCTGAAATGTTTTTCAGTGTTCAGTTGCCTTAGCTTTAAATGTCAAAAACAATGGAGCTTTCACAAACCTCCTTTAGAACACTGCAGTTTTCCTTGAAGATTTACTGATGGTGAAAGGTGATGGCACAGCTCCCCTGCTAACACAATACAGAGCTGCACACAGAGGCTATCTCTGACATTGCACTGGCCGCTCCCATGCCTGCACAGCCTCCTCCAAAAGTCTTTGAACTTACATTCTGAAGGCCAAATCCTGACAAAGATATTCATTGTGAGTGCTACCTTAATTATCCAAATTATCTGTTTCGGTCATCTTGTCTCTCCTGGGGAGTGGCATCTCACTCTTTGTTTGACCCAGCTGAACACGGTAACATTCAATGCAAATATTAGTCCATCCTTATGGTGCTTTAAACAAACAAGCAGGTTTGGTTTAGATCTTCCTAAATGTGTTGAAAGAGGCATGATGTAAATATGAGTGCAGACAGGGAGGCTGCAGAGGGGCTGCTGGAGCACCTAGCACGTCCTAATGATTACTCTAAGCAGTTCCTTTCCAGCAAGAGGCCTTCCTGACTTATCCCCTTGTCTCTCAAGGGAGAGAGAACCAATAGAGGAAGTTGTGGCAACTCTCTTAGGAGCCCTAAGTAATGTCAACAGCAACAGAAACCTTTTTGGCTGTTCCAATTGCTAATATGGGCTGCCCAAATAAACTATTTGAAATTGCCCCAGAAAGGATTTTCAGTTTGCAGCCATAGCCAACAATATTAGCAGGATTTCTATACAATCCCCAGGGTGAGGGAAGATCCATGACAATTCACACTGTCAAGACTATGATTTCATAATACTTTCTTATTGCCTAATATCTATCAAATAGCTTCATTTATTTACTTGCCTGAAATGTTATTCCTGAAAGTAACACATAGTGTTTTCAGGCAAGGATAAGGATAGGATAAGCTTACTGATGGAAAGTTGAATAGTAGTTCCTGCTTAAATATGCGCTTCTGCTGTGCCATGCTCAGTATAGTTTGAAGAAATGACAATCTAGAAAAATGTTATGTTTCAGAAGCTATTCTGAATCATTTATTGCCCCTGCACACAGAGCTGGATGCATGCACAAACACTGTATCCAGTTTGATATGAAGACTTGAAGTTAAACAAGGAAAAATGGGTGAAGGTCCACTTCAGAGCTGCAAAAGAAACTCTGGACAGAACTAACCAAATAATTATAGAATTATTTAGGCTGGAGAGAGCTCTAAGAACATTTAGTCCAACCATTAGACTAAGTATTTGGGCAGAACTGTGTTGGACATTAAATGTACTGTTGATTACAGACTCCTGACAAAGAGAAACAGATTGCCAAATCTAGATTTTATGAAAAAGCACAGGAAATATATGTGGAACTGCTGTAAGGGTGGAAACTCAGGGACCATGCTGAATCCATAAATTGAACAGAAGTATCATTTATCTTGCACCACTCAGAAGAGGCAGAAGCTGTATGCCTTTGGAAAAAGAAGAAAGAACATTTTTTTAAAGGGCATCATTATATGAATTGTTTTCAGCAGTTTCTTCCACTTGATATAGAGTTGGCAGCATACACAAGTTGAATTTTTTCCATCTTCCCTCTACTTGTTTACCGCTCAGTGCACTTGAAGATTTATCTTTGTTTATTAATTAGAATGAAACAAGAAGTTCAAGAGTGGTCACCTAAATGTGTGCAACAGCTATTTAAGAGGAGATTGGGACACTGACTCTGCTTGTGGTGACTGCCTGCAAGGGCCAGCGCTTCCATCTTGGAGAAGGTGACAGCCTTTCCTCCTTTCTAGACCTCAAATAGAAGGTTTGCAGTCAGTAACAGGTACATCTGGCTAGGAATGCCCCTGCAGGAGAGATCTTAAACACAATTTCACTGTGAACTCCAGTAGCAAGGATTTAGCCAGGATCTCGTGCAGGGTGCTGTGTATGATTGTCTGTATCTGTATGGCTGAAGTAATCAGCCATATAATAATGTTTATTATATGATTTTTAAGTTTAAGGTTTTGCAGTTACAGTTGCTCTTGTCAGCATTTTTATCCCATGCTGTCTTTATTTATTTAATTTCTTTCCACTGGAAAGACATTCCTCCCTAACACCATTTCTAAACAATAGAAATAAGTAACTTGACAGTTACATACATTTGCTTCAACCTGACTCATGGGGGGAGCTTTCAGTCTGCATAGTAATGCATGACTGCTGCTAAAATTTGAGAGACAAGATAATATTTTTTAATTTTTTTTTTTTTTTAATTCTTGGAAGCTTTCCTAGAATGATGCATACTTATTTACATAGAAAAAAATCAAAACCCGGACTGCAACATTGCATATAGGTTTTGAAATGTTTTGACACATTTACTGAGATTTACTAGGTAATTTCACATGCTTGTCTGGCAATTTATAATCCATTATTTTGCAATATAAGCTGCATCCTTGAGTTTATTTTATGGCATAGACATAAAGTAAACTAAATGACAACATCTCCTGACGTCTCCCCTTTATCTATGGGAATGACCTTCAGTAAAGAAAACAACATGCAAAGGATGTTGTGCATCCATTTGGAGGTATATTATTTTCATTAATGTGAATGTTTCTGAGTAAAGGAAGAAGTAAAGTTAGAAGAAGAATGCAATTATTAATAAACCATGTGTCATGAGAATCAAGGCAAGTATTGCATTAAAAGTTGCGCTGTTTGGGAGCCATCTTTGGGCCTTGATCTTCTAATATCTGCTGAGAAAATATTTTAAAAATCTGGCTTATTTCTTCGTGTGCTGATGGGTTTCTGCAGTGAAGTTGGGATATTTATGAAATACAGCACAAAACTCACAGTCAGTTAAAGGCATAATTAGTCACCCCAAACTGGAGATAGATTAGTACTAAAGGAGAAAAGCAATTAAGTATTTTACACCATAGTTTTGACATAAATGTGGACATTATAGTCCAAATTCTGCTTCCCTTCATTTAATCAGAAATCAACTGAACGCAGAAGCAACTCTGTGTTATAAGCACTAGAAGTAAAAGAAGAACTGCAGGGAGAGAAAAATAAAACACTACGTAAAAGACTACAGGATTACAGCCTGATTTTCAAGGCACAGAGCAAATTTACATGGAAAATAACTTTTAAAAGCTGGAGGAAGAAGAAGAGAGAGGAAGGAACGGTATGCCTGGCCTCCAGGTTAAGATCAATTTGTGCTACAAGGTCAGGAACACTGGAATTCTAAGGGTTTGTTTTTGCCCACTATTTGGAGTCACATCATATTTATGTACTAGAACTGAACTTCTCCAATGATAAATGTGTTTAGCTCCAGTCATTTGCTTTGTCACCAGCTGCAAGCAGGGGGAAACCGTGCTTATTGTTCTGACTAATGACAATTCAACTGGGAGGCTTCTGTTCCTCCAGTTCCAATAAACAAAGTTAATTTACTCACCATTTCTTTTCTAGAAAGGTTATATATAGTTGGATGATTTTTATTACACAGGGTTTTTAATTTTGTCCTGAAACTTCTGTTTTCATTTTGGTCACTGGTCTATAGAACATCATGCTATATAACAGCACAGATACAAAAAAAAACAGAAAAACCCAACCAACCAACCAAAAATTATTATATACCACTCTCTAATTTGTCCTCTACGTTATTTTAATGAAATGATAGTACAGAAAACAGTTATTGAGTGGAAAAAGTGCTGTGGGTTAGGTGGCTTAGTGCTACAGTGCCACCACACTAAAAGCCCATCTTTCAGCATGAAGAAATATATTCTGCTCTACGACTAAACATGGAACCGTCTTTAGACTGTGTGCTGTATATGGCACAATACATGCTCTTGTAGGAATGCAGGAAATGGAGCCAATGTTCCCATCTAAATAAAAAAGAAATCAGAAAAACAAAGTTTGAAGTTCAGGCTAATAGAAGTGTGGTCAATCTGAAGTAAAATTTGTCTAGTAGAAAAAAACTAGTATACTTTTACTATAGGTTTAGGTTCTTAATTTTGTAATTCACAATAATTATCACCCTATAAAAATGTACACAATTCCTTTTCCTGCTGTGACCAACCATAAATGACACCACTTATTTAAAACACACTTGAAACTTAAGAGTAGCTTGTATTACCTCCAGCTCCATGTGTTTTTCTTCCTTGTCATGGTCCTTCAATGCCTTTTTGGAATGATTATTGAAGTCTTCTAAATGACAGATATGCTGATATTTAGTAAGTTCATGTTTAGCTTGCTTTCTTTGAGAAACACTCCTTCTTTGAAGACCTTTGAAAAATGCCTCATAGAGTGGCAGTTCTTTAAGTGTATCATCATCACCTCTGTTATCTGCTTCTTCCTCTTCAGAATAAAAATCATCTGCTTCTCCTGCCTCACAAATATGGAGCTTGGTGTCAGCTTCATGTGATGAAAACTCGAAATCAGAAAATGTGATAGCACATGATTTGTGTTTTATGACTCTGATCTCATAATTTGCTTCTGGTTTCTTGTCTGAATTTTTTCCTGTGAGGACTGGCCATTCTGTGTGCATGGGAAGGTTTAAAGAGTGTTCCTTTGACGTGTGCATTGTAGAACAGGATAAATCTTCATAAAGCTGCTTTGTCTGGGGCTGGTTGGTGGCAGTGGCACTGCCTGCAGCCATGCCAAGTTGTAAGGATGTCTCATTGTGGTCCAATAAGGATGACACAGACAGCAAGCTCAGCTCAGATTCCAGTAATGCATTCTGAAATTCATATGGACTTGTCTGATTTTCTATCTTTCTTTGGTGTTCTTCATACTTGGCTTCCTTTGGAGTTCCCAGGCACTCTGCAGATGTAAGATAAGGTGACCCCTGTTCTTCTTCATAGATGTTAGTTTCCATTCCAATGGGTTTCATCCATCAGAGATCAAAATTACTTCATTTTTGCTTTTCTTAAGAAACATAAATCTGCAAGTGTAGCCAGGAAATGTATTCTTAGTTTTCCAAAACTATGATCACACAGTCATTATTAATGCTTGGATTCTCATACAAAACATCTGAATCCTTTCAGCTCCTGAAAAAAAAAAAAAATAGACAACGTGCTTGCGATGGAGTGCATCAGCAAAAGTAACACGGAAACATGAAGTGTCCATATCAAATTTACTTCACTTTACTATTTTACTTGTGCCTCTTAAAAATATTTAATGTATGTAGGTTAAATAAACTTAAAACATGAGAATTATGACTTGTTTTGCTTAGAGACTGGGAAAATGGCAAATGTAGAAATGTGTTTTAATTAATGACTCTGAGTTGATTATTGACTCAACAGTTCAGAATAATTTAAAGTGATGTTAAACATATGCTTGTTATCTAAACATGCCTCTGTTCACTGTATTTTCATTGTCTGTTAAATCACTGACAACTTTTACACTGCTCTGATAAAGCTATTAAAATGCCATAGGGAAGACTAAGGAACAAAACATAGAGAAATGTCATAGGGAAAACAGACAGAAAAGATGTCAGTACAGGCATGATTTTCTCTGTCTCGAATTCAGTGAACTGCCAGTGCAGTGCAGGACCTGCCCATTTCCGATAGATTTGAAAAGGAAAAGGAGGAGGCTAAAAATACCAGGGAATTCATTACTACATGGAGTTGGCCTTGTCTGCTTTAAAGGTCTTAAAATCCGTGCTCACATCTGGGCAGTGCACCTCCAATGCACTGGGAGAAGGGAGCAGCTGAAGAACTGATCTTACATCACTGAATAGCTTCCATTCACTCATACATGTCATTTACTTCTTGTGACAGATTGAATATTGTTAGTATTTATTTTAATGATTGTTTCAGTACTCCATCTGTGAGAGACAAAAGCAGAACAGAAGCTTTTCAAAATAAAAAGAGAAGCTTAAGCCTTTGCTGTACGTGGCAAACCTGTCAGTGATGAGGAAGATGTGTCAGAAGGCAGCACTGTGACTGTCAAAGTGGGAAGCAAGCAAAGTAAGATGCTGGCATGTGATGTGCCTGTCACTGCATGTGCCATAAACTGAGCAATGCACACCAGCTAGGCATATTTTAGTGCTGGTTAGTGTATATATTACTGTTACAATACCTTTGGTAATAGAAAGAATACTGTTACACATCCAGGAAATTTGGATTTGTTGTATTACCTTTGTCATTTGAACTGCAGCTGTAATAGATGTGAGCAGGCAGGTACCCATTGTTTATGTAGACCTCCTCTCAGCTATTGATAGCTATTTAAACGTCAGACATTATTGTAAACTGTCTAACCTCCTGCTGGAGTCAGTGGGGAGAGGAAAATGCTTCCAGAAGGTAAATGCTCTCACTTATCTTGTTTACCATTTTGATGTGGGAGAAGTCTCCCTTCTGGCTTGACTGCCTAATACAAAACTATAGAGGACGTCTAGACAAAAAGCTTGCACCAGTCATCCAGCCTTTAGAGGGACAAATAATGCCAAGAAGAATTTCAGCCCATATCTGTGGTACATAATAAAAATAGTTTACATTATCTATGCATGAATGAGAAACCTGCTTCTGAAGGCCTCATTTTCTCAGGTGCTTCAGGTTAGCCATCTACACAGAACTGACTTCACTTCCAGAAGTGGGAGAACTAATTGAGCACAGTGTCTTCGAAAAAGAAAACACATTCTCACATTTAGATGGAATGATTGGAATAACCAACTTTTCACACAATATCTTGTACATTGTGGTCACAGTGAAAAAGCCTCTTGCCATTTCAGGTGATTATCATCTGTGCTTCACTATGAGCCATCACCTTTGCTTCTCAGTTCCTGACACCCAGCACCCTGCAAAAAGCCACACTCCCATCACACAAAGCCAGCTATAAGCCAAAAAGTTCTGCATACTCTAGCAGACAACCCAGGGCAGCAAAAGAGCTTTGGCCTGGCTGCCCACATCAGGTGGGAGGGTGAGCTGTGCTCACCAGCCATTGCTGCTGGTGGCTGTCCCCTTCTTCATCTGATGGTAATTCCAGAAGAAGTAGCAGTGCTTAGGTGTCCAGGGTTTTCTCCAGAGATTCTCTTTCCCAGTCTTCACCCCATCCTATTGTCACTCTTTCCTTGGCCTATTTCCTGGACCCTCTTTAATTTTGGTAATGCTGCCAAGCAGGATCTGCTGTGATGACATTGTGGAAATACACCTCTGTGTTCATAGTAACATCTTTGCTGTAATAAGCCAAACATTTAGCAAGAAATGCTCCAGAAGCAGTTAGGGGAATTCACAGGATCACAGGATTGCTTGGGTTGGAGGGGACCTCAGGGGGTGCACCTCCCTGCACAAGCAAGGCCATCCTGGAGCACATGGCACAGGATTGTGTCCAGACATTTTTTGAATGTGTCAGGTGAGGGAGAGATTTCACAACTTCCATGGTCAATCTGTTCTAGTCATAGAGAAGTTATTACACAATAAAGAAGTTTTTCCTCATATTTAGGTGGAACTTTCTGTATGTCAGTTTCTGCCTTGTACACATCAAATTCTGCAGCAGGAATGCACAGGATAAGTGAATTATGTATTTTTTTATTTCTAATACTTTGGGATGATGCTTTAGACTTCCAAACATGAATTATCATCCAAAATATTGTATTTTTCATTATCTCTCTATATAATTCTATATTACTAGCCTTTAAAACTAATACCCAATTTCTTTTAAAACTTTGCTATGCTATTTCTCTCAAATGAGTTTTGTTTTTTTTACAGGATATGATGTAAAACTGCAATTTTTACAGTTTAATTGCAAAAATAATGAAAGAGTTTTTCTGTTTACTGGATTTACTTATTCTATTGTTCTCTTTATTTTTCCTGGGATGAGACTGGAAGAAATCAAGTATGCAAAAGCAGTCTGGTTCTGTGCAAGTATGGCAAAAAATCTGGCAAAAAATCTGGCAAAAAATCTCTGAGGAGGAAGTGGTAAGAAGAGAGAATGTCAGTTTACCCTTGTTCATCCTGTGCAACATATCTTACTCAATCTAGCAGTGACTATAAAATATAATATTAAATTCCATGTTTATAAAGAGTTACACATAGACATTTCTAGCTTGTAAAAATGGAGCATTCTTGGCAAAGCAGAGAATTTAGAAATCCTGCCCACAGCAAAATTTGTAAGTCAGAGTGCTCTGAAAATTCAGAGCTAAATCTGCACATGTCATAAAAGGCCTCTAAGACAATCCTGCAAAAGAATGTAATTCTCTCCACAATGATGAATGTATGCACATACAATTTCTGAAAACCAGTCATCTTTCTGGAAAAGGTCTTCAAGACTTTTAAAATAGGGAGATTACTTTTGTGTGCATATGTAATTCTAAATATATATGGTAGCATTAGCTGTACTGGTAGAAGCTAGTGTAGGTAAGGATGTGGAATAATGAAAGTATATGTAGGTTTTTCAACTAAAAATGGAATGCAGAGCTACCAGAGGTAACTGTCCAACCTGAACTGACACCAAGAAGCATTAGTAAGTGCAAAAACATTAAAAAGCAACACGGGATTTTTTTTCCTTTGCTAAATGTGAAATGCATATCTGAGTGTAGCAACTTCAGCTGTTCACACACTTGAGTTTAAAACTTACAAATGTTAGAATGTTATTTATTAATGAAAACTTACAAATCAGCAGTAAATTAATACAGATTTGTCATATAACTAGTGACATGCTATGGAAGGGAAGTTCTCATAGGTCTGGCACATGTAAGTGTGTATGTGAAGCCTGACAGATCAACTTCTGTGTATCATGCTCTACTGGCTCGATTCCCCTCTGCCTGAAATAAAATTATGATGATTTATTTCATAGCATTACTCTAATAGCAAGTCACCTAGACCAGCTTTTCAAACATGGCTTAAATTACTGCATTTCAATACCCATTATGTATTTTGGCATGACAGAGCACGTGAATATAACTTTTTCAGTTTAAATTAAATTTAAATCTGAAGTGACATAGTAAACCAGCAAATCAACTCCTGATCTTGGCTGGAGCAGTACACCACTTATCTAAAATAAAAAGTTTTTATCTCTCAGGCCCTAGTGCATTTTTTTCCCCTTTCACAATGACTTTACTTAGTATTTTCTATTGACTTATACAATATTCCCCTGAAAAATTAGGCAAACAAAGCAAGAGAATGCAAGACACATAGACTAAGAGCAAATGACGAGATTAGGATTTTTTCCTGTTGATAATTTTACCTGTTTTGCAAGGTAACCCCATATTTTTCAATTCAGTTAATTTCCATAAGTGTAACAACAGGAACTGCGTGAGTAGACAAAAGATCCTCCAAGCATTGGGGCAGAACAGAAAAAGAAGTGAGCAAATCCTTAACAAAAGACATTGCAGCTTCCTTGCTGCACAAGAACTCTGTCAACAGAAATATGTGTGAGAATCCCTGGGGCGAAAACAGCCTTCTGCAAGCATTGGCCAAATTATTCAGAGAAAAAGACAGAAAAAAAAGGAGAGGGGAGGGAAAAAAATAAAAAGAGGGAATAAGAGCATGCTTCATAGGAACACCAGGCACTTCTAAAAATACGGCATGACCTCATTCTTCACATTATGCCAGACCTTAACATCGTGCTTTGCTTTATCACCTGGAGCACCTGGAGTCAGGTTCCCACTGCTTGAGTTTGGATGCTGTCAGATTTTGAAAAGGTAGGCAGTGAAATGCCTTTTGATGTAGTGTAAAGCCAGTGTAAAGAAATACCAAAATTAGTTTCCGTGTCACTTGCAAATTCTAATTATTTTTTGCCTATGTTTCATCAAGACCTACATTTGCTGCCAAAGCTTTACAAGCCTTTCCTTTTTTTATATATTAATAGAATCATAGCTTGCAGACCGACTTCTGCATACACTGCAAAATGTAGCTGTAGTGCAAGTTACTGGACACATGGGCCTCTGAGTTTGATTATAAATCAGTTATTTGCAAATTTAGCCTGGAAGGGAGAAGGATGTATTGTCACTGGAAATACAGGGTGAGAAGTCTTTGAGTTATAGTTAAATTTTGGAAGTGTTTTTCTCTATTGCTTTTGAACAGGGCAAACAGCAAAAATAGAAATGCTG